TCGATGGTTATCCGGCGGCCATACACTTAAAACAAAAAACTTATGTTGAAGAAAAAGAAGCATCAACATCATAACTTAGTTGATTTCATTGCACACGCTAGATTGAATGGAGGTGCTTAGTCCAAAACGTGCACTACTTATTTACATATACTTCTTTTCTACATAACCAATTCCACTACTTGAATTTAGGGGTGTAACAATCTACTTATATACTAAAATTCGAGTGTGAGTTTATCGAACTTTTTTTTTACGAGCTTGAGTTCAAGCTCTTTTTGTTAATTTTTTGGTTTAACTGAAATTAATGTATATATTTTTAATATTTATTATGATTATACTACTACTATTTATAATAAAAATTGAAAATGCGTGCGAACAACTCGTGAGCTTATAAACAACTAAAAATTGAACACGTACAGAGTTCATCATCACAATTATCCACAAATTCAACTCATTTACGCATCTACTCATTGAGGGGTAGATAGCAAAATGCATATTCTAGTGGGCCTTCAAAGAAAAAACAAAGATGATATTTTTTTCATATCAATAATAAAAGATCAATTAAAAAATATTAATTTAATAAAAAGATGTAGGACCACAATTAAGATAAAATGGGGACAAAGACTGCAACATGTGATAGCAACAGCTAAATTACACGGAAGGTTCACTGATCTGATCTCACAATCAACGGCCAATTTTCAATCAATTATCAACATCATATAAACGTTTTTCACTTTGAAATATCTAGAGAAAAATTAGTTGCTTGATATATATAAATATGCGGATTATCTATTACATACATAAAGACAATTAAAATAGTTTTGTTATATAATTAATTAATCACATATATAACCAATTAAATTTTGAATTATTAGTTGAACATGCTCCTAAGTCCTAACATAAACAAGAAATTGATGGAGAAAGATTGCTAATTAATCCATGAAATACTAATTCAATAATTGCTTGCTTGAGAATTAAGATAATCCACGTGTATAAATAGCCATTTTCCTTTCTTTAATTATAATTTAAAGTGTACAAGAAACCAAGGAAAAGATTCCAGGGCCACTGTGGTTTCAGACGAGGTGGAAATTATTGATGTTGAAATTATAATTTAAATCCCCCTCTTTCCTTATCTCTAATATATTTTTTTTCTTTTTTCATTTTTTTCTTTTCTTTACTCAATTTAACTTTATCTTAATAAAATTTAAATGCTAAGCTATTCTTTTATACAGTATACTTAAGTTACGAGACCGAGACTTTTTCTTGACAGTAGTGTCTTATTAATTTCTTTATAGTGGTTGAAATATTTAATCACTAATTTATAGTTTTCCCACCAATTATTGATCAAGATATTACTAATTAATTATTATCTTTTTTTTCAGGATGGAATTGATCAACTGTTAATTTGTTGAGTGGAAATGTTTGTTTTTTTGCCCCTCATACATTATATTTAATAAAAAACAAATTGATTTTTTATACTTAATTTTTGCTAAATAAACTCGTTTTGAATATACAAATTAATCAATCATCACATACAAAATAGTAGGCCGGGTGGCCCGGGTATATTTGGGCTTCGGATTTAAAGGCAGAGCTCACCAGAAGAAACTTTTATATGGCCCGGCCCATCTAAACGGCCCGTTTATATTCGGGCTTCGGATTTAAAGGCCGAACCCACCAGAAGACACTATTATTTGGCCCGCGTTATATTTGCGCTTCGGATTTAAAGGCAGAGCCCACCAGAAGAAACTGTTTTATAGCCCGGCCCATTTAAATAGCCCGGGTATTTTTGGGTTTCGGATTTAATGGCAGAGCCCACCAGAAGAAACTTTTATATGGCCCGGCCCATCGCATTGGCCCGGTTATATTTGGGCTTCGGAATTAAAGGCAGAGCTCACCAGAAGAAACTACTTATATGCCCCTCTATAAATTATAAATTACAAATTACAATCGCCTTTTTTCAATGAACAACCTCAGCCTTATTAGTGTTAGATTATACTATTTTATTTATCATTATTTTTTCCTTTTCTTTTTTAGAATTATTTATTATAAGTTTGAATAATTTTCACGAAGCTTCTCAAAATAAAAAATAAAAATGGTTACAAAGAAACATTCAGAATGTAAGACTTAATGCTAAAATCAAAGCCCCACATCTAATTGATATTATTGAATTGTTGAATACTTATACCCCCGAGTAATAAATAGTCAAAGGGTTTGCTGAAGAAGTAGACCATGAACATTCAACACCCAAATTGACCCGTCAATAAACTCTTGACAAACTAATTAATATTAAAACTCTCCAAGCAATATAATTTCGCATATATTCTACAAGTATAATTAAGCGTAAGTAGCATTTAAATAAATTTATGTCGTTACAAACTTTTGTAGATGACCGCTTTGCATTCGTAATATCAACACATAATCAAAACTATGTGGTTGATAGGGGTAGCATCCATTTTTTTCCCGTTAAAATTAACTGCTAGTGTACATATTTTTTAAATAATAAAAAAAGTCAAGAAAAGCATCATATTCTTGATACAAAATATTGGTTGAGAATTGGTACTTGGGGTGGTGGAAGGTCAATAAGTATCACCTCACAATTGTAAGTTGTAACAGAAAGCATTAGCATATGATACGTATCGTATCATCTTCCTTCTTTTTTCTGTTCATTTCATCATTGTTAATACTAACTTATTAAGACAAGTACCATAAAGCATGAAGTCAAATGTTCTCAATATATATAACGTTGGAGTAAAATATGGGCAACTCCCATTCCTTCAACTTTGTCTCTCTTGTGAATTACCCAAATTCTCCCTCCCTTTTCTTTTCCATATTTTATTTTTAGTGCAGAATTAGCATCTTGACAATTTTCATCAAAGATCGAAAGTCATAATAATCAAAATAGGCCAAACAATGTCACACGCATGACAATTGACACATTATACTATCTAGTGGTTGATTAAAGTAAAGTCAAATTGGGAGAATCACATGTCACCTTTGTGACTTTAATTTTATTTTATATTTTTATTATTTTATAAATATTGTGTTTGTAATTTCAAACTTTTAAAAAAGGTACCGGTCACCGGTAAAGCCAAAGCGTAGGTGGTCCCCATTCCCTAACCCTAATCCTAACCCTAAACCCTAACCTCCCTTAAATGGACTTTTGTATACAAAGCTGTTAAAAGGTCAACTCTAGAATATCTAACTTGCCGATTTTACCTTCACCCAATCCAACGGCTCATTACTACCCTTTTGACTTTATGTACACATTATGATATCATCAATTCCACCACCGGTTCACCCGTTAAACCGTCCCCACCACCTTAAATTTAAAGTTGGTCAACGCAGCGCTCAGTTTTTAAAAATTAAAATATTTATTACGCATGCGAAGCCCAGACAGACAATTCTCCCACGTACCAAAAGCTCAATACCACTGGGCTAAGACTTATCTCTTATATATATATTATATAATATAGACACACACGTGTAAGGATATAATTGGTTGTTGCGTTTGACGAGAAGCAGGTCAGAAGAATCGACAGTACATTGGAATAAATACATTAAAGAGAGAGAAAACAGGCATCACCAGTTTGACTCTCTCTCTCTCTCTCTCTCTTCTTTCTCTCTCTTAATTTATATACCCTTTTGTCCTCCAAACAATTTCTTGTTAATTCTCTCGTGTTCGGAATTTCTCTCTTGTTGAATTTACTTTGTGAGAAAATGGCAGTGGAGTTGATGCCTGGCTACAGGTTTACATCTAAAATGGAGGCTAACGCCGCCCAGGAAGCGGCGGCGGCCGGCCTTCAGAGCGTCGAGAATCTCATCAGATTACTTTCAAACTCCCACCATCAAAATTTCCCAGATCAACAACAATCCTCCTCCAAATATCAGTCATCGGAACCGATCGCCGCCGCTGCCGCCGCGGATTACCAGGCCGCCGCGGATTACCAGGCCGTCGCCGATGTCGCCGTCAACAAATTTAAGAAGTTTATTTCTATACTCGACCAGACCCCCCGAACCGGGCACGCCCGGTTCCGCCGTGGCCCGATTTCCAATCCCACTCAGAAGGTCAAACCGGCCGGCCCTCCAGCACAACCGCCAAAGACAGAGGAAAATAGTACTGTTCCTGCTCCCGGTTCGAGAATTTATTGCCCGACTCCGGTTCAGCGGCTACCGCCGCTGCCCCAAAACCACCTACAGCTGTTGAAGAACGCCACCGTCGAGCGGAAGGAGTCAACCACCATAAACTTCGCGTCGCCGGCGACATCGTTCATGTCCTCCTTAACCGCCGGCGACACTGATAGCCTGCAGCCGTCGATGTCTTCGTCGGGATTTCAGATCACGAACCTCTCTCAGGTTTCCTCCGTCGGCCGGCCGCCGCTGTCGACGTCGTCGTTCAAGCGGAAGTGCAACTCAATGGATGACGCCAACACCAAGTGCGGCGGCGCGTCGTCTCGTTGCCATTGCCCAAAGAAAAGGTAAGCAAATTGAAATTCAAAAAAAAAAAAAAAGGTCAACTCCAAGTTAATTAGTAATTAGTAAATAAAAAAAAAAAAACACGATTAACATTAATCTTAACCCTAATCACTTAAATTAATCAATTAATTACAACAGGAAATCAAGGCTGAAGAAAGTAGTTAGAGTTCCAGCAATTAGCATGAAAATGGCTGATATTCCACCTGATGATTATTCCTGGAGAAAATACGGTCAAAAGCCAATCAAAGGTTCCCCCCATCCTAGGTAATTTCAATTACCTTTTTATTTATTTATTTGGAAATTGAAATATTGGTTAATTAATTGACTAAATTTAGAGCGATTAATTAATGATTGAGAAAATGATTAAATTGTGCAGGGGATATTACAAATGCAGCAGTGTAAGAGGGTGCCCGGCCCGAAAGCATGTGGAGCGGGCTTTAGATGACCCGGGAATGTTAATTGTAACTTATGAAGGTGAACACAGTCACGCCGTTAACAATACAGAAGCACCTGCACTGGTTCTTGAATCATCTTGATCTTATCGAATCCAACGGCCCAGATTTCGCCCCGCTAGAAACAAAAGGCAAAAGGGAAATCTAATCACCACCGTCCATGGCGTGGAAAAAGAGAACGAAGATGGTCAACTCTGGATGCCTGCTCCACTACCTAGATTTAAAAAATAATAAAAAAAAAAATTGAAAATTATATATAGTGGTCTATTTTGTTTTTTTTTTTATGACTTCCTTCTTTTTTTTGTGTGTTCTTTATCACAATTCACACCCTTTGGAAAAACCTTTGATGCTTTAATTTGTGGGAAGAGTCAAAAGGCAAGAAGAACAAAAAAATAGAAAATTGTGGATTTGGTGGGAATTCATTAATCATTCAAACTAGTGGGTTTTCTTCATCTTTGTTCTTCCACATTGGCCAATTAAATATTTTCCAATTGCTTAAAAAAATTTGCAAGTTTTTTAATTTAATCGATAATATATCTAGTGAAATATACCGGATAATTATTAATTTTTAATCGGTGCGTTTTTGTTGGGTAATGGGGGAGGTGGATTCTTTACTTAGATGCCCGCTTTTAGTTGTTATTATATATAAATTAAATTTAATATTCTTTATGTTTTTCCACAAAGACTAATATTGTTTAATTGATTTAAAATAATTTGTAGGAGCAGTTGGTCAATGGGTGGAAATTGAGTAAAATAAAAAAAATAAAAAAAAAATGGTGAATAGTTTAATGGTGAGCCGTGAGCGTGTCGTGTATGGGACGGTTGACAAGTTAGACCAGACAATTATTTTGGAAGATATAATAATTAATAAGTGGTGATGGTGGGTGGAGCCATTTAATATTAATACAATGATAAAATAATTAATTAAATATCAAATAAAAACTTGGACTTATTTTTAGGAGATTATTAATATTATTAAATGCTACTATGTGAGGATGAGAGTGCAACAGTTGGAATTATCTTCCACTCAAGATTGAGCTGTGTTCTTGCTATTTTTTCTTTTTCTTAAATCATATGTTTTGATTAATTATTATAAAATGTATTATTTAGGTAGTTCGCAAGTCATAGTCAGTTCATTCTTAAGGATTAATTATTCTACATAATATTAATGTGAAGTTGAATTTCAAAAAAATACAATTGATTAAAATAGATGCATGTATGGCTTGTTTTACATAAAATTATAAATCCAATATAATGCAATATTGAAATAATTGAGGTATAAAAAAAATAAATCAAGTTGTTGAATGTGCATGTAGGGTTGACTAATCAGCAGATATGGCGCAGGTGGGTGGATGGGGAAGCCCAAGTCATAGATCACAAGAAATAAGGGAATATAATATTCTAAATTAATTAATTATTGAAGTGGATTATGACTAAGCATCCTCTATATTTTTTATTTCCTCTTTGTTGTTTTCCAAGATTTAAAAAGATTTTTATTCCCTTGTATTATTTTTTCAATTTTATTGTGAAACTTGACCTTATTAAAATTATGCATACAAGTTTCTAGATGTTGGAGTTGCCCCAAAATGGCCAAGATTGAAGATTGAACATCAAATATGCTCGTTTAAAAGTGTTACATCATATGTATTAAGAAAACTAATAAATTTTACATCAACTACTTAACGGACTGTTGAGTCGCCGACTCACCACAATTTACACATCATCATGTCGTAGCAAATAGGGACCTTGGAGTCGAGAGATTTTGCATTTTGGTGCATAAAGTCAAAAACAAACTTCCACAAAGTTTGAACCATTAATATGATTGAATGACGATTTATTTATTTCCAAATTGTATACGGTCGTACATTATTAATTAGTACACTTAGAAACTCAAAATAACCTGGGCTCCACTTTTAAAGTGATCCCTCATGTATTTAAACTTATTTTGATGTGGTCATATTTCATAATTTCAGTAGACTAAAAATTGAAGTATGACAATCTAAGTATGAAGAAGGGCTAAATCGGAATATCTTTACAATACAAGACTAGTAAAGATATTGAGTATACTAAATATTAAACAAATTAAGTTCAATTAATCGTAATTAATCTCTCCAATCAGGCCTTAAAATACTATTTCATCTATTTTCAATGAATTATATTAATTTCCAAAAGTCAACATCCAGCTAATATGATTTTTCTAGAGATTTCATTTCATCTATTAATAGATTTCAATAATTCAAGATGTCAACGGCCAGCTCATCCAACTGGTTTTGCTTTATCGTTTTCTGTTGGGCTTCAGTTTAAGATGACAATAGTGGGCTGCTTTCTTGTGGGAAATTTTACATACGAATGTTTAGCCCAACAAAACAGTTGGAAATAGGGCATTAATAATATTTTATCTTATAAATAATGTATATGTATTTTTTTGAGAATCTAAATAAATAATTATAACAAACGTTTCCGAGCTTTCTATAACAAAAAAATTATGATGATCCCTCGTCAGATTTTAATGATCCGACGTCGCTTCAACTCATAAAAATCAATTTTATGCTATTTAAGCAGTTTAGAAAATTCATCAAAACATAAAATGACGGTTTCGTAAAGTGGATTGTTTCTAAAATTACAAAATCTATTCGAAATATGTTTTAACCAATTTTCACATTTGTCTATGGTCGTTTTTTTTCAATTTTTGGGTTTTTTGAGTTTTAATAGCTAGTAAACAACCCTATTCCAAAATGGCCCGACAAACAAAACTTATGAGCATAGGTCATGACTCGCGTCAGATTTCGATGATCCGACGACATCTCAACTCATAAAAATTAAATTTTACTATTTTAGAAAATTCATATCAATTCATAGAAACATCACATGATGAATTTGTCAATTGTGAGGTTTTAACTCATTTTTGCATATTTATGCAAAACAGTCGTTATCCCGGTTTATTATGGTCTTTTGAGTTGTAATAGCATGTTAAAACCCTTGACTCAGGATGGTTAATATTCTCTACTTTTTTCTCTTCTTGAGTTATTTCAGATTTTGTCACCCTAGAAATTTATCTGTAACTTGATGATGTGTGTTTGCATGTGTGTTAATTTGTGATGCATCTCATTAATATGTGTGTACCTGGTGTTTTTGATATCATGAAAAGTTTATAATTTTTTTTTTCTTATTAAAAGTGATATTTTGATATATGATTGTGATCTGTTTGGATCCCTTGTAGTTAATTACACGAATTTGAATCATTGTAAATTTGTAATGATTAAAAAAATAATTTTTTTAACCGTGGTATTGATTGGGATTACAGCTGCAAGAGCTTTGGAATCGTTGAACTTTGCTCCACTCGGTAACAAGAATATCCGAGTGATGTACTCGCATCGGGACCCAAGCACCGAAGGACGCCGCTTGGATAAGTTCGATCGGGAATCTCAAATGTAAAAATATCTCCGATATTGCGCTTCTTCTAAAGTCTTCCGATTCTATTGTCCACAATCTTTGCCATGCATACGACGTGTGTGTGTGTATCATAAGGCTTCATCTAGGCCGTCCAATTTCTTCCTTGCGCTTCGTAAATGGTACCCTTCTTTTCAGCCAGAGATGGAGTTTCGTTGCTTTGTGTTGAATAAACTCCTTGTGGGGATTTGTCAAAGGGAAGTGACCAACTTTCATCCTACTCTTGTTGAAAGGAAAAGTCATTTAAAAGCTATGATTTTGGACTTTTTTGTGGAGGAAGTGAAGGGGAAATTTGGGTCGGAGAGTTTTACGTTTGATGTTTATGTCACGAAAGATGGGCGGGTTAAGGTATTGGATTTCAATCCGTGGGGTGGTTCGACTCTCACGTTGATGTTTAGTTGGGATGAATTGGAAGATGAGTCGAGAGAAGGTGATGAATTCGAATTGGATTTTAGGATTGTGGAGAGTAGATGTGGTATTCGACCGGGTTTGAAAACTGCACGTTAGTAGCCCTATCCCAAGGAAAACGGCCTGAATAATAAAACTCATGACCAATGGTCATGAATCGCGTCAGATTTCGATAATCCGACGTCGTTTCGATTCATAAAATAAGAATAGATGATAGAAAAAAGTAGAAAAAAAATCACTAATTTACCCCGTAAGGTAAATTTAATTTATCAAACTATAGAAATATTAAAATTATGCTGGTGCAATTTTAAATTGAAATATAAAATCTGGTAGGTGACCTAAGAAACCTACCTGAGTAACACTGGCCAGTAACTACACCACCAAACATATACATACACATAATTAACCATAGTTAATGAGCCACCTAAAATCCTTCATTTTATGACTCACCGACGCTTTACATTTTACAGCTACCATATACATACAATAATTTGTTTTTTAGTGAAGACATTTTTTACTATAACAGTCAAATCATTTTACTGTAGCAGTCACATCATGTAAAAGATAAACTTTTGATATTGTTTTGAGAAAATAATTTGAAAAGTGTAATAAATCCCATTTTATTTTGAAGAAACAATGAAAACAAAATAGAAATGGTTCCAAACATTGCCTAAAATTGCAATTTTAAATTGAAATATAAAATCTGGTAGGTGACCTAAGAAACCTACCTAAGTAACACTGGCCAGTAACTACACCACCAAACATATACATACACATAATTAACCATAGTTAATGAGCCACCTAAAATCCTTCATTTTATGACTCACCGACGCTTTACATTTTACAGCTACCATATACA